GATTTATATTAAACTACTATTGACAGCATAAATTTGAGAATGCTATCAAAGAGCTATTAAAATGTTTTATTGTTACAATAATTAATAATATCAATAATAAGCTGAGAAAATTAAGAAAAATTTAAAGGCACAAAATAAATACAAGAGAGAACCTATCTGCCTCTTCATAGTCTTCATAATTCACAATATAGTTCCCATATGTAGTTTTTTATTTTAATCAGTTATTTTCTTTTCTTTTATATGCAGTTTATTAATTTTCAATGATTATTTCTTTGTAAAATTTTTTTTAATACAAATGAAATTTCTAATTAAACTTTGAAACTAGTTGATTTTTCGTCATAGAAACCACCAAGGACAATATGATTGTTTAATAAAAAATTTGGAGAATTACAAAAAATGGAGAAAAGCTTTTCATTTCTCCATTTCAACTTTTTGCCACTATGCTTCGAATTTTTGTTATCAATTGCACAGTATTTTAAATTGTACAAAGAAAAAGGAGTTGTTTCACGCTTTACAGCGTGCCGAGTGCTTCAATGGCGTATACAAAATGTGTATTATTTTATTCATGAGAGGGCGACACGACGCATGCAAACACGTGAGGGTATTCCCCAGAGTTTGGCTGCTTTACCTGCAATCCGAGAATCGAAGAAGTCCGCATTCGTCCTCCTCCAAATTAATATCGCAAACAGCCACACCTCAGTCGGCCCAGACGAAAAAGGAGTGACGCGAGCAAAAATATAATAATGATTTAATGCTCCGCCGAGCACCGCACCGTGAATAATTAAAAGGCTAATTAAAAATATTTTCCCTCGGCGGCGTGACAACGTTATCTGCACGCCACTTTTACGACCGACGCAGACAAAATAATGCAGTTGATTTTTGGCAGCTGCGATGTTCAAATTCGTTTTATACAATAATTTATTAATTATTTCCGCTTAATAATATTCCAAATTAAATATTTGTTCATTATTTGTAAGATTGTTATGAATATTCTGAATTTGAAACCCATCAATTGCTGGGAGGAGAAATTCAATTGATGGTCAAAAACACCTCAATAGCAAAGGGCAAAGATTTTTAAATTTCTTCTGTTATTTCATAATGTCTCTGATAGCAAAGCCAATTTAAATATTAAATCCATCATTTTTGAAAAAAATTATATCAAAATTTCCTTAAAATTTTGACAAAAATTAACGTCTATATAAATAATACTATTTTTTAAATAAATTTCATTGATTAAAAAAGTAGTCAAATCTATTTAAACCTTGAAAAATTCTGAGATGGAAGTTCAAATAATATAATAGTGATGATACATTATATAAAATTTCTGTCTATTTTCCCTATTTTTTGCAATTTGTTTGTTTCATTTTTCCTTTTGCCATTACAATTTTAAAACGAACATTATTTTATTTTGAGCATAAAAATGTACTTTTATTGCCTTGTAATGATTTGATCGACCCATATGAAAATAATTTTGTAACTAATGGACACCCTGTCTGCTCCTATTCAAACATAGTGAGCGAGTCTTTCAGAACTGCAATCAACAGTACATATTATGAAAGGGACGAGCAGTGCGGTGCAGCCCAACCAACTAACGTATTTGCATATTCTCGACGCCGCTCGACCGTTTGCATAAACACGCGGGGCCCTGCGCGAATAGTAAATGAATGGGCATCATCATATGCACGCCCGACGAAGTGGCCGCGTGTGTACATTTGGTGCAGAGAGAGTCTATTTACCAGCGTGTATGCTCGCATCACAGTACCTGCTCTTTACGCAAATTTAATTGATAGATGCGAAACGGAAGTTTTTTATAATTGTATTGGTTATATTTCTTTATAATTTGCTCAAGTTAGTTTCGGTTTTTCATTTTAACTTCTCTTTTACTTGTGAGAAAATAATTAAAAAAAAAATCATTTCTACCAGAAGATGTACTTATTTCGAATAACATTAATGTTTAATATTTTAAAATTAAAAAAATGTATCGTTTATTTTTCCACGTTGTTTACATTCAATTTTTTAAAACAATTATTGAAAAATGGAGGTATGTAATTGAAATGAATCAATATAAAATTTAAACTTTAAAATTCCCAATACTATTAACCTAATATCATTGAGTCCAGATTATCCCCTTCTTTTCAATTTTTCAGCTTCTTTTTTAGTCATCTTTGCGTCCACCAGCAAGATAAAACCAGCGAAGGAACAATACTTTTTTTAATAAAATTTAAAATGAAGTGGTTTTAGCACCACGAATAAAGGGCGCAGCCAAAAGATAACTCCTAGAAAAATAGCCTTGCTAATTTCAAATTACTAACCCGCTTAACATTTTAATTATTCTAACGCAATCAAAATTTTATTAGTTTGTATTTAATATTTTGTTCGCTTCTAATTAACATTCCGGCTATGTTTTTGGCAAAATTTTTGGTCGACAACAGTGCGAAATTCGAGCCAATGTAGGTCAGCATCGCCGACCAGGCCATAGTTCACGTCGGTGGTAATTTATAAAAATGTACGTTTGACGTTGACAATGCGGAGGGAGGACGTCATGCAGTCCAAAAGGTACACAGTAGATAGAACAATAGACCTTAGCATTGTTTCTAACGTGACCTGCGGCCCTTTTCATTACTCACAGAGACAAACAATACATATTCTTCAATATTGCAAGTGGAACGAATTTTGTCAAAGTCTAAACATCACAATGTGGCACTCCTATTTTGCAATAATTAAATACAATTCACAAAGAAAATTATTTGAGTGCTAAATTATAGAAGTAAATTTGAACCTTTGACAGCAGTTCAAATTAAAACTTTTATTTAATAATTAAAAATTTATTGTAATTATAAAATTACATTTTCTGTGCCTAAAATTATATTTAAATTATTGAACAACGTATTAGGGCACAAAATTCAAATAATTAATTAGAGATAAAAATTTAAAAAAAAAATCCAATGCTGGCCAAAAGAGCCTCAAGGAAAGTTAGCAAGTTGTACAGTTCGCCTGAAATGATGTAGTTTAACTATACAACCTACTACCTCAGCTTGCAGCCCACAGTGGAGTCTCATTTCCACGCAGTCTCTTCGGGGAAAGCACCCTCGGGTCGGTCAAGTGGGTGGAAACGCCCTCCTGACCGGACCCGTCTATGCGAGCTTGTGGATTTGGCACCACACAAGTTCGGATCTACGGGTTCGCGACAGGCGGGACGAGTTTCGTCCGTTTCAAGTTGGAAGTTTGGTTTAACTTGGCTCTTCGAGTGCAGGCAGGAACCACGGGAATTGCAAAGTACTGCATTTCGTGGGTGGACTGGTTAGGTCCGTTCAGAACCACTCGTTCAAGTAACCAGACCGAAATTGCAAATTTTTGCAAGCCCAGCAGTTCATTTGACATCTTGAAGAAGGATGGCAGCAGACGGCGGTCGTCGTCAAGGTGCGCCACAAGCCAGATGCTTTTGTATTTTTCAATGGCCGTCGCTAAAAACTTGCTGTACATAAAAGATAAATATCGTGTGCCAATACTTTAGCCCTCTCGATTTTCTCGAGAGGATTTTTTTTTAAATTACACAGATATCGATAATAAAGGTATAGAAAATTTTTGTGGAAAATAAAATTTTAAAACTGTTATAAATAAACAAATATTGTTAATTTATATTACATAAATTTTTTAATTTCATTTACATAATTATTTATTTACAATAAAAGTTATTTGATGGATTAAAATTATTGCAAAATAGGAAACTTGATTAAATTTAAACTAGGTATTCATTTATGTCCTTTTTTACATCTATTTTATGTAAAATACTAAATTAGGCCCATTCTAATAATTTAAACTTAGCACATGGTGAAATAAAACTGTTATTACAAAGTTTAAATGATATTTCCATTATTTCGCTTCGCTATAGTATTATGAAATTACAGGGTCAAACTTCACAATCAGATCAATAGATATGAATAGGTTATAATTAAATCAAAGTCAATTAAATATTTTAATCACTGATTAAAGTAAATGAAGCCCCTGAATAGAATTCCACATCACGCGTAAATACGACATAGGTGCAGATTGTAAACAAAATTATGAATTTTAAGACTGAAAGTTTTGGTAAATATTAAAAGATTTTTATGTTTTTTAAGTAAAAATGGAAATGGAGAAGCTCAAATATTTTGCCTATTTATAATAATTCTGGACTTTTGGCCAATTTTTTGATGTAATTTTAGGAAAAAAAATTTCATTATATGTTTTCCTCCAGATTTTTAGTATATTTCCTAGAATCTTCAGACTTATTCATGAATCATATCTCATTTTATTAAACTATTGAAAGGAACTTAAAGTAAGCAAATGACAGGGATGATTTCCGCATCAAATTATTAAGAAAAATGATGCAGGGTTTAAAATTTGATCTACTTTTTAAGGACGCTGATTTTTTACTTTCTTTTGATTGTTTAAATCTTAAAATATTTGCTGCAATTATATTCAAACAATTGTGATGATTTTATAAAATGGCAAAAATGTCGAGCAGTGAATTCTTACAGATAATTTGTATTTACATACTTGTCTCACAATCAGGATTTTTCTAATTTTTATAATTTAATAGCTTTCATTTTTGTTATTAAATTGTCTTTTTTTTATAAATTATTTTTAAAATAATAGAGTACGCCGCTTGCTTGTTGATTGTAGCATTACATTTTTGCAAAAGCGGATGGCCGAGTAAATTATATACCGCAGAAAGATCGAGTAGCTCCAGCTGGCAAGGGAAACCGGTGCCGAGCACTTCTTCTTCTCCCGCTCTTTATTATATAATATAATATCTTGTTCCCTGACTCTTTCTTTTCGCGCCCAAACTAAAATTACATGCGTGCGTGACTATTACTGAGCGATGTGCGCAGCAGCATATTATTTCAAACCGTGATTTTACTCGTTTTTTGTTCTCGGAACGCCGGTCAAACGTACAAAACATGAACACATAAATACACGAGGAAAAAACTAAATATTATCAGGAGTGGTTAACTTACCGCTCTGTCACGGCGACGCAAATCCTAGGAGCACACACTGCGATACATTAACCGACACTGACTGACTGACTTTTGCAATTGGGTGAAAGCAGCAGCGGTGGTTTTTGCACTCGCACTCGCGGCGGCTCGAGCACTCAAGAAAGATCCAGCTGGAGATTCCTCACCTGTAACAAACACACGCCTCGGATTAGCCAATGTTGCAATTTGGTGTTTTCATCTGTTCGCAAACAGCAACAACTGATTAATGTATAGTACCGGACAAACCGTTTTCGCATTTGTATTTGCAGCCGTGTTTTTTACGTTAACATTATTTTCGCACATTTCCGATTTCGCGCAGCCCGCAACAGCAAATCTATCCTTAGACGTTGTTGGCAAAACGCGTTTTCTTTAAACGATGTCTTTAGATCGTTGTGTTTTTATTGTACAAAATTTCAACATCAAACCTTAATTAATAAAAATTTACTCTTTATTAAAGAATAAAATTTTTTTAAAGAAATCAATTTCATGAGAACCAAAACAATTTAAAGTCAGTTTATAATTAAAACCGTTTAAAAATTATAGTTCAAAAGAAACAAAAAATCAGCAGAGTTCAGTAATTACTTTATAAATAATAATGTTTTTCAAGAAAATTTTTCCTTGGCTTTTATAAAATGAAGCAGAAAATTATTTAGAAAAAACACCTTGTAGACAAAATTCCTCATGAACAAGCAAAAAGGCTTTGTGTCTACAACATATACGAATATAGGCCAAGCGGAAGACACCATCAGATTTTCATATAAATTTATATTTAATAGTGCGAGCATGTGTGCTGATATACACTAAATTTGAATCGTAAGAAGTGTTTTGACGCATTTTGCCATAGGATTTCCTTTCCAACCTAGTGTGCGATTATAACTTTTAGGCCTCCTGCATGCACGCCGCGTTGACAAGATTGATCAAGATAACATCGAGAAACAAATGTTTAATTTCTTCACCATCGCCCGGAAAAGGGAAATTAGGTTTTAATTATTGCATAGGCTTAAAATTTTACTTCTCCTCTCTTCTTGTTAAGAAATTAAATAAATCCTCGTTGAAAAATATTTGTTATTTATAAACAAAAATCAGCTTTGATATTAATTTTAGAGAGGAGGAAAAAGTCAAACAGATGAAAAAATATAACAGTTCCCTCCAGTTTATATAAAAGTATCTGGATGAGGAAAAATAAAAAAGTTATTGGGGCTTTTTATCCATCTGGCTGTGTTTAAGATTAGACGTTATCACTTTAAATGAAAAAGTTTGAGACCCTTAAATCAAAGCCTGCACATTCATAAAAATTCAAACAAAAAGTTTCGTTCAAATGAACTGAATTTTTTTTCGGAACAATTTATATTTTAACCAGGAAAGATTTATTTCTGCGCTTTAAAGCAACTGATTTGAAGGGGAAAAAATTAGGCCACAGCAGGATTTGAAACTTCAATCGAAGTGGACAGATGTGCGCCGGCCGGCTATTCACGTTTGTGCAAATTTATATCGGCTTGAGCGCAAACTCGCTTTTCTGCTGGCATTTCTTCGCCGTCCACCCTTCTGTTTTACGCTCGACATGACACACCAGTCTCTGTACTTTTAGCAATGACAATGACGCACAAACGAATTCTTGTGCACGGTCCGATGGTTTCCTGTAATGACAAACGTGTATTCGCCCAAGCACACGAGATTTAAAACAACTGAACCCGAGCTATTTTTTTTCTCAAAAAATAAAATGAATCTAAAAATTTTGCAAAAACGTTGACAATTTTAATCAATTTACAAACATTTTCATTTTTAATTCAAATGAGTTAAATGTTCTCAGATATTATAATTTCTTTCTCTCTTTAATTTAAAATAAAATTTTATAATTTAAATTTTCTGCATTATTCATATCAAAATAATAATAAAAAAAATTTTAACTAAAAGATTTTTCTTTAATTTAAATTTTAGAAGAAACCCAGCTATTTAAAGCACAATGAAGTTCAAAATTAAGGCATTTTAAATAAAAATCCGTAGTTTAAATTATCTCCTGGCCGACTGCAAAAAAGCCAAAGGCTGAAGTTGGAGCATAGAAAGGCAAGGGAGAGATTCTCTCTATTTAAACAAGACACTCCACGTGCAGGCTCAATTAATTCCTTTTTCTCTGCGCTGCCGAGGGTTAATTGAAATTTTTTGGCATCAACATGAGGACGTCCTGGCGAAAAACGCGGCGCGTGTTCGTGCATGCGTGTGCTTTACCAACAAACACACACAGCATAAAATAAAAGCAGAGCGCGGCATTTTGACATTGGCACGGTGCCTCCGAAAATAATGGGTCCCTAACAGCTAATAGTTAATAGTCCAGCGCAGAACGCGCCTTTTTTTAATTGCCGCAAACCGCCTTGATGCATGACTGCTGGAAGGTGAAAAAGATTTGTCAGCAGAAAATTTGTGTAATTTTTTCTGGAGAAAGCAATTAAATATTTAAATAATAGTCGTTGAAGTATTAAAACCCACGATTTTTATGTACGCGCCAATCCTTTGCAATTTTGGTTTAAACCGAATTGGAACATTCTAGAATTTTTTATTTTGTTTGACGAGTTTTGCTCAGCATTTTCATTGAATAAACAATTCTTCAGAACGAATTTGCTCAAAGTTTATAGTTCCAAGACTTGACATCGGAGTTTATTTTCACAAAAATAAAAATAAAAGGAAAAAAGTAAAAGTCTTTCCGTTGTAGCTATAAAACTGATTTAGGCAATTTCTTGGCAAATACGTCAAGCGGAAAGCATACTTTACAATCAAGGCTTTGCCCGCCTTTCCTGGCGACAAAGGTGGACTTTTACGACAAAGGAAGATAATTAAGAAATTGACGTGTAGATGTTTATAAGCTTTTTATAATATTAAATAGGTAATAAACCTTATAATATCTTAAATTTTTATAGAATTACCAAAATTTCTGATTACCATGAAGCATAACACAATTCTACCCTAAATAGTTAACTTAAGATCTAGAACCTTTTTTCAAATGACAAATTTTTCTTCTAAACATTTCGTAAATTTTTTTATACTTCTTTGATAAAAGAGAGAAATTATACCTTTTACACAAGAGAAAAAGGCGAATATTTAGGTTCAAAATTAATTTGAAAAAGTCCCAGATTAGCAAAATTTTGTATGAAAAAAGCGAGTCATTTTTCTTCAAAGTAATTATAGATTTGAAATCTAACTAAGCTGTAACAATTTACCGGAATATTGTCAACCGAGTTTTCAAAATTCAAGAGTTTTATTACAAATTTAGGAGTTTAGAATCTTCAACGACTTTTCCTAAATGAGGAAATTTTATTATAATCAAAGTCCCTCAAAGTTTGTAATAAAATTTGCAAAAAAAAAAAATTAAAAATAAAATAAAACGATATACTTTTTGTGAATATATCTGAAATAAAGATAGTTTTCATTCTCATGTAAATTTAATCAGAATGACATGATTGCAAAGATCCGTTGTCGAAATGAATTAAACAAAATCAGAAATGATTTTAAACCACGCGTTAGATAAACGGGAAAAAGTAGACATTTGGTAAACATTGCTGTCAATATTTGCCTCATTCTGACAGGATAGATTAAAAATGTCAAACATGAAACTTTATTCAGTGATTAGAGTAACAAAATATTTATCCATCGGCATTTGCAAAATTTAACGAATTCCTCGTTTTAATTCCAGCCAGGAGTACTTTTAATTTCCTCCTCTCAATTAGGTCGGGACGTGCGCACTGACGGCAAGGGTGTTTCAATATTTTTTAATCTTGGTAAATTTTGGCTAAATATTTGTGAAGGAGACGGACGGAGAAAGAGACAGACAGACGTGGTGTGCGAGGTGAGCGGAGTGTAAACTATTTTCCTACCATGGCCAACGCGCGCGTCTGCGAAAAAGACCTTGGCTCCACTACACACACTCAACTCCCTCTTCATGTGCTTTTGCCTTTTTATCCAGCCAGTCTACTGCTTTTTTCGCATTATAAACTTTTATAGTGGGATATATAGCTAGCCGAGTGCGCGCGAGAGAGAGAGATGAAAAAATTGCAGACGCAACATTCCCCCACTCGGCGCGCGCGCTCGCTTCCAAAGCAGGGCTCATGACCTCTTGGCTTACAGCTCAGGCACCTAGCCATGGTCTAGGGGTTCAACTGCTCCACTCGCCGCAATAACTCGCAAATGAATTTTTCCGTTCGTTCTTTGATAATAAATTTTTATTCTTAAAATAAGGACGCCGATTTTTATGCACGTTTAGTTTTTTTTCACTTCCGCGGAACCCGCGCTTGCTGTCTCACTCTCGCACACGTGATTCAGAATTTCGCGCACCAAGTTCACGCGGAAGTCTGTCTGTCTGTCTGGTCTGCCGGCTGACTGGCTGAATATCGCGCTGGCTGGGCTCTGTCGTTTGGTTCCGCCGAACCGTCCGTGTATACGTGTGGCGGAGGTTCGGTTAGGGGCTCGCGTTTTTATCACTGCACGTGTTATCAGATGAGAGAAGGATAAGTTTGGTCAAAGAATAACATGACTTGGACATTTGGGAAAAAAATTTATCAAAGACGTCGAATGAAAAATAAAAATTTTGATATTTTTAAATTTAATTTTTTAGGAATTATTTTAACATAAAATTTGACGAAAATTGAAAATGGTGTGAGGCGAATACTTCAGTTCTTTAATAAATGGAAATTTTCAAAACTCTGGAAGAAAAAACAGCCGTTTTTTCAATTCCAAAATAAGATAATTACAAACTTATTGATTCGGGAAAATTCATTTTTTTTAGTAATTTTTGAAAATTTTAACTTTAAATAAAATAATTATAATAATAATATCATTTAGGATTGTGGCTCTGGTACCTTAATTTGAGGGCTTAAATTATATTTTAATTTTATGGAGACACAAAATGACAATTTTTTGGTACACAATTAATAACTTTGATTTAAAGTTAGAATTCCAATCTACAAAGCCTATAGTTCCAGTAAAACCACGATTCCCTTCAAAAAAATATACGTGAATATTATAATTTTTACTTATATTAATTGCCTGAGTACTCATGCAAAAATGACCGTTGAATAGAAAAATTTAAATTATAAAACTACAGAGAGAAAATTACTAAAATTACTTTTTATTAAAAAGCACCCAATTTGATTGCCAT